TCATATTCCGTTTCTTGATATCGAAGCTCTTATCCACAACGGTAGGGAATGATTATTAGACAATACTTGACCAACTACTTCAGAGTATTATCAACTGAAAGGTATAATGATATCAGTCAATCTTCTACAAAATTAACAGTAGGTTTACGGGCATTTACACTTCATTCTATTATTCATAAAAGAATTGATGCTCGTTTATTTAGATTGGAACTGGAGATTTGATAGTAGGTAATTGAGGTACACGTCAGTGTGATCGCATCAATCGAAATCGGCGTAAACATTTACAAAATAATATTTCTAAAATCCAATATGCGTCAATTTGACGCGTTCCGTAAACCTAGTGTTAAAATCTGTAAAAATGACGTTGCACTTTATTTCTAGGGAAGAAGAATTTTCCTAGAGGCTTAATGCGAACTACCGCGGATTAGTGTTGTCAAACGCCCCGGTTTACGGACACTAATCCGTGGAACGCCGGTCGGACCCTGGATACGAAAGAAGTTCCGTTCAAGGGTGCATGACGACGTTCGATCGAAGTCGAAGAGGCGTCTGGGCGCTCGGCGTCGGAACGACGTCCGACGCTTCGAGCCACGAGCGCCAGTCACTTTGAAAAATGCATTATTTATAGACACGCGGAGACGGAGACCTTGATTACGGGGCGAACGCGTGGAACGCGGGCTGCATTCCGACGTTATCAAGCTCGTTCCCGTTCCGATGATCCTCCGAGAGGACAGCAGCTCCTCTTCCTCGCGTTTCCTCCGCTTATGTCCCAAGCGGAATCCAATGGAACTTGGCCAATTCGAGGACGTGATTGGCGAAGTATCGCGGCTATTTAATTGGAAAACATGATTTAGGGGATCCGCGGAACTCGCCGACGTATCGAGGAACGACGAGTGATTCAACAGGCGATGTTGGTGTTCGAAAATGGAACTGTTCGAATCCGTTTAACCCGAGCGGCCCGGATGATTCATGGACTGGAGGCGGTTTCGCCGAACCTTCGAAGATGAATGAAACGTTGGCTTCGCGAAATCTTCACCGGAGTGGAATTTTCATTCTGAAGTAGTCGGGTGCGTGGCTCGGTTAGTAGGTTTACTATTGGCATCGGTTCGCGTTATCGAGCCCCGGTGTTATTGTCGTAATTAACATGCCGCTAACGGCGAAGTGTCCTTATCGATCTTGGAATCGCGTGTACTGCTACTTCATATGCATCGACGAAACAAAAGTGATGCGGACTCGTGACTGTTGAGTCAGAAGTAGGCGCACGTTTTTATCTCGATTTAATTGCACGGTTTGCCGTCGTTGCGTACGAACGCTCGTAGATGGTGAAATACACGATTTTTGTTCAAGTGTGTGGAAAGTACGGGGAATATTTTTATGAATATTCGAAAGAATCGATAATAATGATGCCAATTCTATGAATGCAAACGATAAATTCATTTGAAAGACCTCTCGGTGGTGTTTAGATCGGAGCACGCGATAATCGTATCTGTCGATCAAGGACAACCATTGAGAATTGATCGGTTCACTAATAGTTTGTCATTGGCATTCGGATCTTACCTTTGGCATCAGTCCATTCGTCAATACTTTTACCCGTGCTTCTAATGCGCGATCGCTGTTGTGACTCGGCGCTCGTTCGTTCCCAATTAAAAATAAAAATCCTACGCATCGCGTTAATCCGTAAATATGTCTTACAAACGGCGTCTGCGTCGCTGAATATATTCAATAAAATCTCGAGTAACGTTCACATGAAATTTTCAAGCTTAACGGACACCTGGTTCGGCAGAAGAAGAAAAATGTTTCAACAACCTATTTTATGGATTTACAGCGAGCAGTTGCCTCTCACGGGATCATTCAAGTCCGAGCCTCATTCATAATGGCGGACGCGCATAGTAACCGAAAGACTACGATGTAAACAAGACGAGAATACTACCGTTCGCCGGAAGGTATAAACACGTTAAGGTTCCAAACCTCCTCCCACTCTATCTAAATGACGTACAGTTCACATTTTCAATATTAAAGCCATCCATATTTCCTTAAACGTCTGTTCGTCTAGCATCGATCTAATAATACCCCGACATAAAATCCTTTCCTTGTTTCATTTGCCTTTTCGATCTTATTCCGTCGTTGTTATTATTCATTCTCTAAAGTATATGTCATTGTTTCAGGGCAACTTTTCTAATCATTGCGCAACGCCAGCAAGCATATCGTGTCAAATTCAGAAACAGCGTGGCCAGCCCTGCGGTTCGCCGCGATATTTGCAATGGTCGGGCTCGAACATACATAAACAACCATCCTCAGGGTTTGCACCGCGCGCACGTCACTCATGGAACGCCGACGCGCGAATTTTGCGTATTATTTCGTCACGAGAACGTCGTCGACGCGAATATTGCCAATCGACCGACCGCAATCGTGATTAATTGCCGATCAGCGATGTACGATCGAAGGTTGTTGTCGCAAACGGTTCGTCAACAATCAAAATATACTAAACTAAATCGTAAGGGATATCGTAATCGACTGACTCACCGGCCGATCTCGGATTGGATGTTGTAATGATCCTTGAAGTCCACGCCTCGGCGGACGGTTACATCTCGATACGGAAAGCTCGGCTCGATCTCTAAACAAGGGGAAAACCATATAACAGTGAGAAAGTGAAAAATGTTCTCTTAAATTAAAGTCCGTCGAACAGTCGTCTCGGGAATCAGTTCGAATCGGATCGCGTTGCATCGCGAGGGAGCCTATTCTATCGAAACGAAGCCTGATTCCGCTGAAACTCGACTCGTTTCCCTTTACAGGCGGTAATTTCCGGTGCCGTTCCGCGTCGCGCGACGTCCACGTGAAACGATCGCGATACCCGCGACGTTCGTGCAACGGTTCCGACGCGCGTAATCAAACACCTTGTTAATCGTCTATTTTTCGATGATCCTGGGTTACGAGGGAACTACGCCAACTTACAACTTCTGACATTCAGGAAGCTACCACCGGCAGACGAAATTGTCTCGCACGCGTATATTTAGCAATTTTTGTCTTTTCGCGCGGTCTCTGGCTTCGATATGAACACGCCGAAAGCGTCGGCGATGGTTTGACGCGCAAAAGGAAATCGTTTAGAGAACGTAGATGCATACTAACAATTAACACAACTCAAATCGAATCGTTTAATTTGCAATGTAAATGTTTTCAGATCAAATTGTGCAATTACGAAAACCACGATGGAACTACAGCAGAATTAACTCGGATGGCGAAGCTGTTTAGATTGCCGTCGAAAAAGCGGAAGCCCCTCGCGTTCCGCCACGCGTCCCTACGCATCATTTCGCGCCGGCCGCGACCTCATTTCACCCTTTTGTACGAGACAGCTGGCGGAACGGCGACCTCCAGCCGAAACAACGAAAGTGGGAATACACAATGCTCATCGGGACCGATCCCGTTCTCGAAGACTTTAAACGCTGTCCGGTTGAACGTTCCTTTTATCGGCTCGGATTCCAGTGAATCACCCACCAGCAAATTTATTTAAAGAAAAACCACGATCGAAGCACTGCACTCCACCGCGTCGGGAATGAAATCATCAAGCTCCTCGGTAACTCGGTCTCAATCGGAACCATTAGAACCGGTATCGTTCGATTTCTAATGTTATCATCCAAGTACAATATTCACTCGGCACAATGGTTTCAGATTCAAATAAGGCGACATGGCTGAAGGAAGCTTCATACGAGCATAGTTTCCCTGTCCGTCTCAATCCATTCGATTCTAAGAAAGAAGACCGTTGACCCGTTTCCCGATCACCGTCTCGCCGAATAGTACGCAATTCCATGAAACGCGACAGATTGAAGTCCAAGTGAACTGGCAGAAGCATCCTCGAGCCACCGTTTTCGCAATCCAGGATCTTACGATAAATAGTTTCACAAGATACACAACGGTAACGGTCGGTGTTACGATGGTATTCGCGGGCGACGTGTGCAGATAGTCTGTCCCTTACCGCCGACCGGGTCAGTTTCGTCGACGCGTATCATCCTTCTGTGGCCTAGCACCCTGTGCCGTCGAGGGACAGGTTGTTCCGTTCGCCGACGGGTCGGTGCACGCGGGCGACGAACGCGTTCGGTTTCCCTCTCGCCTCGACCGAACCGATCCCCGACCGATCCGATGCACCCTAAAGGCAATTATTGACTATCGCGTTCGCGGTCTCTCGGTCGGCGAGTCCCGGTGGCCGACGTTCGGGTGCCTCTTCTTCTCGGCTCGGACGGATTTAGATTTTCGGCGGACGCCGCGGATTCTGCTGGCGGGTCACGTGGCCAGTGGCGTTCCTCGAGGCCCTCCTGCTCCGCGCTTCGCCTCGCGACCGGCCAACCTACGATCGACTTGGTCTCTTAGCGCCGCTGCTCTCGTCTCCTCCATCCACGGCCTCGATATCGACTATGGATCGACAATAGGCTCCCTTCAACATCGCGGACCTCCGCCGGCCTGGAGGACGCCTAGCGTCGCCGCCAGACACAGGTTGAGAACCACGTGGACGCGCGAGGCGTCGCCGACTATTGGGGTTTTAGGGTGAACCAGTTTTAACGCAGATCGTCGTGGACCGCTACCGCTCTAGAACACCTTCCCGGCGTATTGTCTCGTCTATTTGGTCTTTATACATTTATAGCTTATGCTCCTGGATAAAGTTCAGCGAGACGCAGATTTAAGTAAAGTTCAACTTTCGTCTGCTTACTGTTTTCATTAATCGATGCTCGGAAACATGTAAATTTCTATAATGGAGTTAATGATGTTATACCCTTACCCAAGATGGACTATACGGGTAATATTGCAGTATGCGGATCGGTTCATCGATTTTCATAAAATTAACGAATGATGTGGAAGTTGATGTTTTGAATAACTTTTTCTTCGAACACGAATGTCGCTCTCGTTTAGTTCCCGAGATAATCGTGTAAAACTAAATGAAACCGGAAGTTATTGTTTTTCTCGTTTGGACGTAAAGAATTCTAGATTTTTTCGGACTTGCTTGAAACTTTGTCTCGGCGCTGTTGTTCTTGCGCATTTTTACTGGCAGCTGAGCAAAGTATTCCGCGATGAACGGGGGGTAACTGTTTCCCTAAAAAGCGATATTAACATACACATTTCTCATGCGACAGAATTTATAAAATACAAAGAGAATTTCGTTTGTTAGCATACTTTATGAAAAAGTAATTAATTTATGATATAAAGGCACTGGATGTAAATGAAATTTTTACCATAATCTTCGATACTCACCGCTCGGCGTAAAGAGCCACTAACGGTGCTTATTTTTAATTTTAAGTCTCTACCTTCGGCATTCGCTGAATTGCTTTTGGCAGCATTTAGACAATTTATTTAAACGGCGCATTCCTCTTACATTCATTCGTAAATTTCTCGAGTTCAAGAAAACGATTAAAGAATTAAACCACATATTCTAGAAATACTTATGTTGCGCCAATAACAGTGACAACAATTAGAAATGATCGAAAACGACAAATTTATATTTCTAATTTTTATTTTTTTATTTTCAGTAGCATTAATATAAAAAATTCTTAAATTACCGAAGATTATATTATTAAAAGATTTCAATGAATGTACAAAACACCCGCACGTGTTTTTAAAATTCTTCTATATAATTGAACGTAGCATTTACGTACATATTACGTTTAGTATAGTATATATTTGTGCAGATATAGCAGAAAGAAAACGCTACAGGGAAACATAACCTTCGAGTTATCATTTTCACTGGTTGTAAAATGTGAAATGTTGTCCTACATTAAAGTTTAATCAGAATTATAATAATGGCAGGAAGTATGAGACAATTAGAAGAAAGACAACTTCCAGCTGAAGTGACAAAAATGCAATGGTCACCAAAAATGGATCTCCTAGCAATTGCAAATGTAAAAGGTTAGATTTTTGAACCAATAAACAATGAGCAATTTTGAATTATTTTAATATTCTTCGAATTCTGATATTCATACTATACATTAATATTTATTGCATTAATACAATCATTCTAGGAGAAGTTACCCTTCATAGATTAACATGGCAAAGAGTATGGCTATTAAGTCCTCAAGAAGAAACTGATACTGTAGTAAATTTAGCATGGAGACCGGATGGAAAACTTTTAGCTGTTTCTTATGAAAACTCTAAAACTGTTTGTCTTGTAGATATTGAAAACAAAAACATTGTACATAAAACAAAACTTAACTTTCATAATGTAATTACATGCATTACATGGTTACCATTGTCAAATCCAGTGAATGACAGTTTCTCAAATAGCAACAAAGCAAACATGCTACCAACTGGAGAATATCTCCCACCTTTACCAAGTTTGAATAGAAGTTTCGGCCAAGAACCTGAGCGCAAAGAATTCCTATTTCAAACTTTAGACATACTTTTTGTAAGTTTACTCAATATTTCTTCATCCTCAGAAACCAATAATACAATGGTTGCTATAATTAATTATGTTTTCTAGCTTGGTTTAGATGATGGAAATGTCACAATGTTTGTATTTGGAATGTTTTACTGTGGCACTATTTCAGTAGGTCATGGTCGAATATTAGAAATTAGTGGTGGATCTAACAAGCCAATGTGGATTACATGGAAAGACAACAGTGGCATTAAAGTGAATAGATTATGGTGTCCATTGCTGGAACAAAATATGGCATTCTTGAAGGTTCTTTGCATAATACAAATTTTACCTGCATTATAAGAAATGATAAAACCTTTACAAAGATTTTATTTTAATACAAGGTAGCACAAGCCCAAGCTAATATAGAATACTTAATGGATTACCTTTCACGTACATTAATGGCCATTTCTGAAGCATGGGAAACGATTCTCTTAGAAATGGATGAAAAGCTAGCACGATATGCAAAAACAAATCCACCTGGAGGAGTTGCAGCAGATTTTTTAGAATTGTTAATGATTGGCATTCCAACCCAAAATTTAGAAAATTTTTTGTTGAGAGATCTAACTGAGAAAGGATTGAAAAAATTAGGACATAGTATTGAAATGTGCTACAGTAATATACAGGTACTTAAAATATGATCTTTATGTTTTTGAAGATCTGGTTAAAAAATAAATTGTTATGTTGCAGAAATTGGTTTTGAAAAACTTAACTAGTGTTGGAATGGCATTAGTATATCAGTTAGCTGAACTGAGAGGTATGGTAAGACTGGGTGGTCCTTATGAACTATTGGGATTAACAGATGAAGGTATAATAACAAAAGCTCTTCATGCGTCTGAAGCTTTCCTAGCAAAGTCTTCAGAAATACAACAAGTAATAGATCACAGTATGCGAGACTACAAAGCATTCTTCAGGTTGGTTGTAAAAAGTAAAAGTGCTGCCTCCAATCTCTAATATTAAAATATTATTTAAGGTGGTTATATGTGGTAATTCTAAGGCTAACAGACGAGAGAATACCGTCTGAAGTGAGCCGAGTCAGTCAACAAGAATTAACATTTATAGCGGAATTTTTACGTGGCTTTGATAAGACTGAACCAGGTGTTAGTGGCAGAAAAGGAGTAAATTTAGAAAAATTAGGCCAATATTTACGACGTGAAAATTTGAAAACTTGTTTGACCCCTGAAGGAAGTGAATGGGCAATGATGCTTGATGAAAATCATTGTCTCAGAGATCATCCACTTATCGTTAAGCAAGATCTTAATTTTTCATTGCTTCAATCTCATGCAAAATTAATTACCGCTATACATAATGTTTTTGGAGAGGCATATCAGGGCTTAGTCGATCATTTCACTGTATCAAGTATTCCACTGGCGCCGTCAATAGCATTTACATCTTCTCAAATTGCAACAAATAATGATGGTTTGTTAGTTGCTACATGTGATGTTGATCATAAAATATTACGATTATTCAAAATTGAGTCTTCGTATACAGAACCCGTTTCACTCAACTTCAAGTTGGGTACAATAGACGTAGATCATAGATCAGGTGCGTTGATACGTTTTGAATATCTACAGTATATAATAATTTACCTGTACAAGTAAATATAATGCAATATTTTTTTCAGAATCGTATTCTAAGACTTATATGGATGGTATTATAGTGGATTTGCAATTTTATACCCACGAATATCTTAGTCTATTATTCTTTAATAAACATAGTCAATCATCATTTCTTATACAATTACCATTAAACCATTCCCGAATTTTTGAAAATCAAGATAAACACCCAGTTAGCTTAACTGATCTAATAAGCAATAATTGGCCGCGACCGTTTCAAGGTATATCTGTTAGGCGATTAGCAGTCAGTGGTGCTCGAAAAGTAGCTGCTGTTTTAAGCGAAAGTAACAGAAAAATAAGATTATTAGAAACTGAAGTAGAACCAGAAGAGGAAGAAGATGAAGAAGACGATGAAGATGGTGCTAACGAGAATATGTTAGAAACTATGCATGAACCAACTGCAAGTACTTCCCAATAAACTAACGTACACGAAAGCATTACAGGTACGTCGCCACAAATGTATAAATGTTTGATAAAATATAGTGTTACTTTTTTATACTTGTTAAAATAATAATTTATTGAAATACAATATCGAAGAAAACTATTTAATTACTTATGTATATAATATACAATAATATGTACAGTCATGTATCCTCGAATTTTAATTTAATCGATATCCATTAAAATTATCTTTTTAAGCAGTTCATGATACTTGTTTTTTGTGAATAGTACAACTAAAAGTTTAATATATCCATAGGACATGATGATCTACTATAAAAAAGTGGCTCATACGATATATTACAAAATTATTACTTATTTCTGCATTTGTTTAAATACCCTCGGGAAATCGATATCAAGAGCTGAATTGTCAATACCACCTTCTTCTGATATTGTCGTTGGTACATTAGGACGGGTACTAGTATTTGGTGTATATTTTGTAGGTGAATTTTCCCTTGACTCCTCTAAATCTATAATAATAGTAATTGTATATTGATTTTGCACATCAGTATCATTCGATTCACTGTTCATTTATGTTAACTATTCAGAAAATATACCAAAAAATCTTTGATTTCGTCTTCTTTTCGCCGTAATGATGAAAAGTACGATTGCTATAGCAACAAGTATTACCATAACAGCAGCCATACCCCGCAATAAATTAGTCTAAAAAAAACACACATTTAAAGACATGATTGTACGCATGCTTTAATTTAATTTAATATATTTTAATATACCTCAAAGTCATTTTCCCAGACATCTTCCCAATCTTTTTTAACAATCAACTCAACAACATGAATATTGATAGAAGAATGATCTGCTATACCTTTTGAAATACATTTATAAAACCCAGATTCAGCTGTTGAGACACCCTGTCAAAGAATAACATACTTATAGGACTGAAAAACATAGTATTATATACAGATTTGTTTGTAACTGGAATTATCACTTACTCTGATAAAAAGCTTTCCAGTTAGCACCTCATAGTTGTACTTATTCTCATCCATAGGGTTTCCTGGCCCAATAATACGTCTATCATCTGTGAGTTGCCAAAACATAAAACGATGGTGATCATCACTGCTTAAACATGGAAGTTCAGCTAAATGTCCAGCTGGAACTTCTGCTACCGTAATTGTGCCACTGACATACCCATTTTTCAATGATAACAATGATAAACAAAATAATGCAAAAAATATTACGTTCATCTGAAAAATAAAATTAAACTATTTGAAAAGTTAGAAATGTAATAGCAAAAAAATCTTATGAATCTGAATAAAACTTAGTAAACGATGAATATTTCATAAGCCTTGACTATTCTACCTGTTGCATGGTATTTATGTACAAATTTTAAGTAAAATATATACAACTATGTCACTAACCACACACTTTACACATTCAATTTATTCACAAAACTATTTAATAAAAGATATTTTAAATCCTTTGTTTTCAATGGAACAAATATATTAGTATTACACTACGAAACGTATTCTGCCACCAGCTATGCTGGCCAAATGTCTTATGCTGTTAACGGGTCTTCTACTGTATGACAATTATATTCTAATTTCATTGATCACCTTTAAGGTAAAAATTTCAGTATCATAGAACCTGTTGTAAACGTGACAGATGGTTGCTAGAACAATTAGTCTATAAAGAATGCACGCAGCAGACACTCTTTAATGAACCATATTGCATAACTCAAAGGTAACTTTGGTCTCTCACTGTCTTTATAGTATAATACCTAAATGCACTTGTAGAAATTAGTGTTAAGCATGGAAAACACTGTTCATGAATGATGACAGTCCTAGAAACTAGTGAGGGAAGCTTTGATAATGAAACTACTGCAGAGTTACTTATTTATATCTTTGTCCTATTCATCCTTGTGCAATAGTATATTTATAGTGAGCCCAACTGGCATCTTGTGACTACCATACCATTGGAAAGTATACTATATTTCATTTGACTAATGTGAATACATTGATACGTATGATAAAACCTAATATCAAGGCATTGTTATCATTACATATGATATGCATATTTAAGTTATAAGGTATAGCAATATATTTTAAGTTACCAATCAAATAGCTTTTAACTTTTATTATCAAAATAATTGATCTAGGGTATTCCTCAGAGATATGGGCAACATAAATTAATAATAATAAATGTATTAATATAAATCTTATATGTACCATAAACACAACTTACACATTTATACAATTAATGACAATATAAAACTATGTTTATATAAAGTGTGACAAATGCTGCAGTTGCTCATTGGTTGAATCAATTAAGATTAGGCCTTCATTAAAACCGATGTTGTTGTATCAAATGTATAAAAACATCAACTGCCAATGCTGAAAGAAGAATCCAAAACGGTGCTAGAACAACTTTTGCTGGTAGGATCCAATGAGATACTTCCAATTTAATACATATCAAAATTTGGGCACTTAATTTCAAAAATACAGCTGTCATGTACCACACCTGTAAGGAGACAATCTTCAACTTCCATCAAATGTAACTATTGTCGGACTTCATCAAAATCATTATATTAAATCAATTAATTAAGTTATTAAAGTGAAATTTTTGTAGTTGTACATTCTTTTACTTTATTCATTAGAAAGGATATTATAACAGCCATTTAAATGAACATTTCAAATACATCATAATTGGTCTTTAAATGTTTGCAACTTACTTCGCGATGTAAATTAACAACACATCCATTTTTACAATGTGAAATCATATTGAAAACTATATAAACTATAAGGATGAGGTCGTACAACCACATTGGGATGAAAACTATAAACCAGTTCCGTTGTATCCTCTGTTCAAGCTTTAAGTTAAGTAATATCAGAAAAACTAAAAGATAAACCCATACACATAATGCACGATGTAGAATTGACATTGAAGTATAAAATTAAATACGTCAAAAATCACGAGGCAAAACGTGATCGCGGAACTATACGATCATATTGCAAATTCGCCGATCTGTTTACATCAACACCTGATATACCTAACCTCTACCATGAACAAATCTTATAAGATATAACCATAATTTCAAAGATGTCGCTACTGTCAAAGAAAATTTGACTGATGGTACTATGTATTTATGTTATGCAAATAATAATGAATGCAGCATTATGAAGCGTTTATTACTATATTATATAATTTATATAAGTATCGATTAAGAGTTTCAAATTTCTTTTAAAAGTATTCAAGGTTTTATGTTTAAAGATTCGATATATGTACAGGGTGTTTTAAAATTATATGTCACGACACCAGAGTGTGATTTTGCACCTTCTATTTAATAAAAATTGATGTAAGGAAGTTGTCGCAAAATTCACCGTAATCTTTAAAAAACAACAATTGGCAGTCTCTTTTTTCAAAGTCTGAAATGAGTTTAGCTACAGCTGTCTTACATCGATCTGTCAATTTGGACATGTAACATCACGCTGTCATAGTTTCAAACTGTAATTACGACACACCCAGTATATACTAAAAAAATATTATCGTAATTTTCTTGATAAGGTACGTTTTACATAACTTTGATATCCACGCAAAGATTGCATATATCTTCGATATGGAAAATTTTAAAATACATTTTTAATAGTCTACTCTTAATTATAAATAATTAGAATTCTTTAGCAATTTTATTTGTTCAATTATTGAAGTATCACAAGATTTGTATATTATAAATTATATATATTAAGTCGCATGCTATTTTTTGAAATTCTTGTTATTAACGTTATCACAAAGTACTTAAGAAGGAATGGAAAAAAATACATTGTTTCAATTTTTGTTCTGATATTCATATGTATCATAATGTTCAAGGTAAGTATTATGTAACAGCATTAGGCAGCAGTAAAACAGATACTATATATTGTTTTTGTAATATTCTTGTCTCGAGTTTCTTTCGTTGCCCGATAGTAGAAATCAGTTACAAGATCGATTCGTCCAGTTAAACAGTAAATTTAAATACGTGCTATTACTCGGTTCTTTCTTAAATTTTCACGAACTTTTAGAGATTAATCATTTTAACATGAATCATTTTAAAGACTCTTAAATCAAACGAAATAACAGGTGGTTCATTCAGTGACTTACTATTCATGAAAACTGTGTATATATTATTATGTCTATTATGTCTGAGCCAATAAGCAGTACAACATCCACAGATTCATCTGTACGTATATTTTTACAATAACAATTCAATACAATATTTTAGTATAATTTTATATTAATATATATGTACTTAGGTACTAGGTTCTTTGTCATTAAATCGTATACTAAACAATTCTGTAGGGTGTCCAAAAAAATCGTATTTAGATCAATGATTGTATAATAATTATCATTTTAAAAAATCTCGAAAAAATAATTTAACCAAAGAAGTTAAGATCTGTGAGTAACCATGAATTCATACGAATTTTTCCGAATATGTTACATGATGAGTATTTAGTTTATAAATATGGAAAAGTACGATGTAATTCGACGATTACTAATTGATTGGTTTGGCCATCGGAAATGAGAGTTCAAATGTCTCGATGTAGTGAATATATATTAAACGCTGAACAACATTAAGATTCAACGAACAGCCCTGTTAAATGTAATTATTTGAATTAGTACCAATTTTAATGTACTTATATCATTTAATCAGGAAAACTGACATAACTTATTATTTGTCGTTGAATATTAAATAAAACCATTTAAGATAGGGATAAAATATTTAAATATATTTTAATTACTGATATAGTTTTAGTACCAAAATGTCCAACCGAGATAACCTTTTAGTCGAATAGACATTTTATCGATTATATGTCTTCCCGAGTACAGTTAAAATGAATAAAGTTAGTTGTAATACAGATATTACAATATTCGTAATTTAATGTATGATTTCTCATACATATAAACCAAGAGAGAGGAATAATAATTGAAAGACGTAGTCAAGAAGACATTCCAACTTAAATGTTTGTCCTAGTTAATAAATTATTATAGAGACACAGTAATGATTCTATTGTTCCATCTGTACATAGGAATGAGCACATTTATCTCGCGTATGTAATACTACCGGTAATAATCTATAAATACTTTGGAAATAGAAGACCTGTTCTCGAATCAAGAGAAGTACATAAGATCTATTTTAAAGGGTTGCGCCTTCTGTCTGACCCCATGTAGAAGCCGGTGATTTCTCGAGGTGTACGCGTAAAAATTACTCGAAAGCCGGTAACAAATTGAAAATCGTTTCTGTGAGTGATCTCAATATACTCTTTTAATTGGTGCTCATTCTTCCTGCGGAATACTTCTTTCTTACTTATCCCCACTGTCCTATCTTACGATTGCGACCTTAGCCTCGATATTAGCATTCTTTCGCGGAAACGCCAGACACGTGTTATTTAATAGACAATGCCAAACTTACGAATGCTGGTAAGTCAATTTAAGCAAAGAAAGCAGCTTTAAAACGAAGCTGAGTATTACCTTTAAATTAATCGTTGATTCTAATTGTATCATTTAATAAGTTTAATTCTCACAGTACCATTATTAATAACCTCTTCTATGAATGAAATGTGCTAATAATGTTATCATTTAACATTACACAGCATTTTTATTCATACTTTTAAAAATTGATATGTAATTGTTGAGTTAGAAAAGAGATTGCAACAGTAATTATTGGCTGACATACGCTATTTGCTACCTTAACTTTTGTTTAATGTAAAGTTACATTTTATTTTAATTTACTTATTATAAATTACCAATTTATCGCGGATGATGTTAAAAAAATGTCTAACTTTATTTTTGTAATTAATATTTCGTTTTAAGAGTTTAAATGATTTATGACCTGGTAACTTATTTATAAAGTTAATATAGTTAGTGTAAATCGCATACTAGATATCTTGGATCAAGAGTACAATTAACAATCATTAGAATTGATATGGTAATGGATCATGAAATAGCAATAGGTTTTATAATAATTATGTTATAATGCTTATATAATGATGCTTATAGGTGTTCTTTTCTTGCTTAAAATTTTTCATTTTTCTGTGTGTTTTAGGTGCTGCCAGCACTAGCTGCTGTAGGAACCATAGTTGTAGTAGGATTAGCATTTAAATTTTATAAATCTTGGAGTACGAACAAGAAAAAGAAGTCTCCAATTTTATTAGTTGATACAGTTGCTAAATATAGTTTACCATTAATTGAAAAAGAGGTAATAAGTCATGATACAAGAAAGTTTAGATTTGGCTTGCCGACACCTGATCATATCTTAGGGTTACCAATTGGCCAACATGTGCATTTAACAGCAAAGATTGATGGAGAAGTTGTTATACGTTCCTATACACCTGTATCAAGTGATGATGATCATGGTTTTGTGGATCTTGTAGTCAAAGTATGTAAAAAGATAAATGATTATCCACTTGTGCTATAATTTTGAAATCTAAACTTTCAAGGTGTACTTTAAAAATGTTCACCCAAAATTCCCTGAAGGAGGAAAGTTGTCTCAATACTTGGAAAATCTAAAACTTGGAGAGACAGTAGATTTTAGAGGTCCATCTGGTAGACTTGTTTATAAGGGCCAAGGGAAGTTTTCTATCAAAATTCTAAGGAAAGATCCACCTGTTGACTATGCAGTTAAGAAGGTAACAAAATTTAAAGATGTATAAATGTATTTTATATTTATAAACTTCAAGATACAAATATGAATTTTTTATGTTGTAGGTAGTAATGTTAGCTGGTGGTACAGGAATCACACCAATGTTGCAGTTAATTCGCGCTATAATAAAAGACAGTACAGATGAAACTCAATGTTCTCTACTCTTTGCTAATCAAACAGAAAAAGATATATTGTTACGAAATGAATTAGATGATATTGCAAAAAATCATCCTGATAAATTGAAACTTTGGTATACACTAGATACCAGTGGCGAAAATTGGACCTACAGTACAGGACACATAAATGTAGATATGATAAAAGAACACATGTTTCCACCATCATCTGATACCTTAGTGCTTATGTGTGGTCCACCTCCAATGATTAATTTTGCTTGTAATCCAAGCCTTGACAAACTTGGATATGATCCAAAATTACGATTTGCATATTAAAGCAACAAATTATTTTGTTGTTGCATAAAATGTAGACTGCATTCGGCTTATTAGTCTGCTCTTTCATTAAATAAAATGTTCAAAAGTGTTTGAGAAAGCATCTTGCCATTTCATAGTACTTGTGTATTAAATGTCTGGTGCCATTTTGAAACTGCAGTATATGTGCAGTATCAGGTTGTATAATATACTGTAGATAGAAACATTCATGACAGTATTTCAGATGCTTAAATTTTGCAAACTATTTTATATTTACGATTTGAATTATTGAAAAAAAATACTACTTAATAGTTTGTTACAAAGTAAAGACAGTAATAATTGCATTTTTTAATTCCATGTTTTCTATAAATACCATTTTTGTTAATTATTAACTACATGTTTTTAATTTTTTATAAAATACGTCGCCAGTGCAGAGTTTAGTGAAAAACACAGTATAGGTTAAAGCATTTATTGATGTTAAACCTATTGTATTGTTATATAAAAATGATGATCACAAGTTGTTCTCATTATTTTATAAACCCTTTTATATGTTTTTCCAACTGGTAATGTAAACGTTTCGTATTATAGAATGACAGCATATACTTGCAAAAATCGAAGAATAATCAGTATATTAATATCAATAATTCGTAATTAACCTTGACATTTATCAATGAAGTGAATCATATTTGAAATCAAGTTGTTGATCATCTGATCAAAGAATTTATATTACGAAGCGGTGCAAACAAAATTAAAGCAATGAAAAAAGTACAGCGTATTTTCCATGATTAACAACGTCCACGATCCTTGACACGTTTCCTGGGCGCTGCTCGCAAGATATCATCCACACGTAAAATCATTTCTGCTGCTTCTGCCGCGCTAAGTAAAACTTGTCTCTTTACAACCCAAGATTCAGTGATTCCTAGTCGAATCATACATCCAACTTTTCCCTGCTCCATATCTGTTAAAACAAACAAAAATATTTTTACATATTGTAGACAGATGGATGTACTGGTTATTCGTTGTATATCGCTTTATAAATAGTAAGAAAATAATGTTTGTAACGACGTATACACTTACCAAGTCCCATTGTCCTTGCACCTGAATTATGTACAGCCCGAAGTTCGCTAATTAGCTGGGCTGAATCATAACCACCATTATCAGCAATAACAGTAGGTAGTTGTTGCAAAGCTCGAGCAAACGATTCCATTGCTACCGCTTCTTTTCCAGGAGTACTTGCCGCTGCTTTCATTACGGCACAAGCCATCACCATTTCACTACATCCTCCACCATAAACGATTCTAGATTCACGTACGGTAGCTGATAATACACACAGAGCATCATGCAAAGATCTTTCCGCTTCGTCGAGGATTTGCTGCGTAGCGCCTCTAATAACTATCGTACACGCTTCACCCAAAGGAACCTCGGAGAATCTCAACAGTGTATCTTCACCTATCATTACCTAAACATACGCACCTTTAAAATTGGTCCATCATTTTAAATAAATTTGAAGACATACCTGTTCAATGAGTTTACATTGTCCAAGTTTCACAGCATCAGGGTTATCAAAAGTACTAACAATTTCACCACCAGTAACAAGAGCCAGTCTTTCGATACCATCAAAATCTGCATGTTCAATTGCCATGATGTTAGCATCAGCAAATAATTGTTCTGGATAATTATAAATTAATTGTCTGTTGATGAACACGTTGCAGCCATGTTTTATGATCTTTTCAACTTTATCCTAAATTGAACATAGTTATCATGTAATTACTGATAATATTAGTGCTCTATGTGTATCAATTTGTAAATTACCTTCATCTTCTCCTTTTCTGCTGCTTCTAATTCTGCAATTTTCGCCATTGAATCAACTCGAACCCTTGATCCAAATACCTATAAATTAATAAGTATGTTAGTTGTAATGTTAAAATGAAATGTTATAATCAAATTCAAATTTATACATTTGTCACTAACTTTGATTTTATCAGTATCCATAGGTGTGTTAGCTATAAGTATTTTTGCATCAGTCATTTTTTGTGGCTGGTGCACTCCAGGTTTTTTATCCAATAAGAATCCACTATCAAGATAAGAATCCGCCAAAGTTCCTCCACGTTTTTTAATGATTTGAATAGCTGATAAGTTGCCTGATCCCTTAAGACGTAATACAGCATCCAATGCAAGCTTACTAAAGTGTTCTTTATGTTGAGCTAAAATCTTTGAGCTTAAAGTTGTACGTGAAATGTTTAATAACTCTTTGTGAAAACGTTCAGGATGTGCAGAGTAATCAGTTGCAACATTAGACAAAGCTGTTCGAGCTACTTCAGTAGCTTTTCTCCAACCAGAGATTATAGTCTGAGGATGAATTTTCTGATCAATTAACTTTTCTGCTTCTCTTAATAATTCAGCAGCTAAAACAAGAATCCATATATTTCATTAGATCCTTAAGGTTTTGTATATCAAAAGTTCCCTTAATAATATACAAACCAAGGACTGTTACAGATGTAGTTCCATCTCCGAATTCATCATCTTGAACACGAGACATGTCCACCAAAATTTTAGCAGCTGGATTATCCACACCAACACTTTTAAGAATAGTTGCTCCATCATTGGTAACTTGAACTTCTCCTGCAGATCTACCATGGGCCACCAATATTTTATCCATACCTTTTGGTCCAAGCGTAGATTTAACTAAGTCACCGATAGCTATTGCTCCTACAAATAAACTTAGCCTAGCAATTTCTGCCTTCTCTTCTTCCGCCTCATTCTTGAGGATCCTAACAGGATTCAAGGAAACCTAAAAATCAATATTCAGATTTAACATTAATAAACCATAGAAACATTTAGTATGTACATTAAATTAATTAAAGTATCATTTTCGCATCAACAATTTCACTACACCTATAAAACAATTTGAAATGCATTGTTTAATAACGAAATTCATCACATAAAATTTTTATACAATGCAATTGTACAAAGCACTAGTAAATTAACATATTTGAATGCCACGTGAACATATTTTCTTTATATAAATGTTTCAACAATCGAAATTAATATTAGTACTAAAAAAAATCATTTTAATGACACACGTGCGCCATTTGTCACACCTTTATATACGAAACCGGGCAACGAGAGTTGACCCGTTACTATTCCAATTTCTGATGATATTAATATAATACCGCTTTCTTATACACACTAGAATAACAAAATCAGTTAATTACCATTTTGAATCACTGTTGGAACGATCGAATACAATTTACCAGGGGATAACGTTACTTCAACTCTACAGCAACGCACAATTACAAGGAATTATCGTTCTCCAGATGGCGTTTCGAGGTCCACCATATATTCCTTGTGCTCGTTTTCCGTTGGAACTTTCTGTTATTGGTTAAATTGGTTTTTATAAATTGCTTGGAACAAATCAGATAATGGTTACAGGTCCCAACAAACAGAATACACCATTCATAACAAAGCTTCATGAGAAAACTCCGAGAACCTTCTTTTGTGATGTGCATATTTAGATGGCGCTATTACTCCAACGCACGATACTTTCGACGACTCCGAATTTAATTCCTTTTAAGGTTCGTAAAAGGTACAAGCGTATAAATTATTATATTATTTTTCCTCGTTATTAAAAATGGAAATATTATGCAGTTAATACTGAGTACTAAATGCTGAATGAATAAATAAGTAATGTGAATGTTCTAAACATATGGAAAATACATATTATGGTATTTGCAATGTAGAATTGATTCAATCGGCATCGTAGAAGATGAATGAATATTATGAAGTTACAGTTCAGCCTATGTAGAACATCGTTTAAAAGAACGTTACATTATAAGAATATCCCAGTATCATTATTCCTATTACATACATATATTACTAGCTGGGCAGTTTGATTATTTAAAACTTATCCCATTCGTGATTATTATACAAAATTAATTAATTAATTCAAAATGGCTGGTAATCAGAGATCTATCTTTCTCATTACTGGAGTAACAATATTAATAAATAAATTCTTACTGTTTGATTGCTATTTGTAGCAAAATTTATTGAATTTAGACTGAATACGTTAATCGATGCACGTGGCGAAAGCTTCCGAGGGAATCATCAGGAAATTTAAATTTCACGGATCAAATTTTTTTAAACGATTAATTCAAAATGGTAGGTAATCAGAAATTTATCTTTTCCATTACTGGAGTAATAACATTAACAAATAAATTCTTACGCTTTGATTGCTATTTATAAATTCAAAATAATTCATTAATTAATTTAAAATGGTAGGTAATCGAAGATCTATCTTTTCCATTACTGGAGTAACAATATTAACAAATAAATTCTTACGCTTTGATTGCTATTTGTAGCAAAGTTTATTAAATTTAGACTGAACACGTTCATCCATGCATCTGCACGTGACGAAAGCTTCCGAGGGAATCATCAGGGAATTTAAATTTCACCGATCAATCTGGACAAACGTTTACGTATGTTCACTACCGAGCGCACCTTTAAATAACGGTCCGCACCCAGCTGTCCCCCATTTTCGTTTGGATCTCCGCGCACAATAGGGGCTGTACGGACCCTTTCACTGTGGCCCTTAGAACTCCAGACGTCCTAGCGCATATGCGGTGTTCCGAGACAAAGACATTAGACATCGGTCGTTACAGAATACAGAGTCTCCGGATTCTCAATAATTGTCAAGTGACCGTATGTATGTACACTATAACAGTAAACTATAACAATTTCAAGTAAAATAATATTATTCTAACACGTTCACCGTCATGGTGGTCACCGATGAGCGGAGCGTCCAAATGATTTGAAAACAATTACAAGAAAACTGATGCTATATCAAAATATTTAGTTACGTAGGTAGCTAAATAATAGTACAACTCCAAACTATGATACCAAACTATTAACACTAGATTTTTGATAAATGGGATTTTTTTAACGCAGTTATGCAAATATGTATCCTAATTGTCTACTCTTAAACCTCAATTTTTCTAAGAACGAAGTGTACAGTAAATGTCAGTAAATCTAGTGTTAATAACTAAATCTAATACCATTTGCCTTCGTTAAGATACGATAAGTAATGTTGTACGAAACGCTCTAAATTTCCATGGTGGTCGACGTGTTAAAAATTTCCTACAATAGGGTGAACATTTCCTTCCTCGCTGAATGTTTCCTTTAAAGATCGTTTCGTCGACCGATGACTTCACTCGTTGGAATTTTCTTGGTAGTGGATAACGGATCGAAAGAAGCATTCTTTGAATGTGTAGGTGGTTTCGAAAGAGTACCAATTGAACGCGGTAATCCATTATTCGTCTAATAACAGACCGCCGAGAAAGACATTGTACGCTACCGAGCCTGCAAGCCATTATGGAAACCTGACTTTTACTAATCACAAATGCAATTTCAAGTTCTACGGATGACTGATGGAAAGCGAGATTATACAACTGTGTCGAATGAAAGGAAGAGCGTCTGCGATCATCAATTTGCATATGTAGCACCCGTATAATGGTACACGCATACCATGTGTACACGTTAACGCAAACGAAATTATTGAAACGCGAATACCGCGAGTTCTAATGAAATGCCAAGGTTGATTTATATAAAACTATGGAAGACAAAGGGATCGGGAATACCTCAGGCATCTTCGTAGAACAATGTAATTCATTTTATACATACATATATAATATCCAGTAGTATTAGCAGTGGCGGCTCGCGTATAGACACTGTAGAACTGCAGCACGCCCAATTTCCACTTGTTATTATCGATAACATTTAATACAATGAGTCCTTTTTTCTTTAACACTAGATTTACGTACATTTATTGTACAGTTTATTCTATTCCCAGAAAGATTGATTCGGTTTAGATCTAGGAAATAAAATGTTTAAAAATCTATCATTAGGAACCATAAACGTAATTGAACCAAAATCGACCCATTTACCAAATAATGTTTATATTCAATATGAGTCAACTTGACTCGTTCCGTGAATCTAGTGTTAATTCTTTCTTTATACTTGTACAATATATAATCCTCAAGCTTAATGTCAGTAGCCACCTCCAGTTTACGAAAACGATACATTTTAAAACAAAGGCTAAATATTTTCTGAAGCGCACTCCTAATCTTAGCCACGAGCCGCCATTGAGTATTAGTTTACTGATTGCCGGTACCACTGACGAGTCTATCGTATGTGTATTGTCGGAATGATTTTTCTTCTAGCGTTCAAAATGCAGAATGCGTGGTTCATTCCGTGGCTTTAATTTAGGATCAGACTTACAATAGTTCTGTGGAGGAGAGATGAGGGGGAGGAATACGTTACATCGGCGTCGTCCCGCATCGGACCACGGTAAATGCGATCACATTGGGCAATCGAATTGTATCGGAGATTACAGTCATAAAGGAACACCAGTTAGGTGAATCATCCACGAACACGTATGCGGGGGACACTCATCACCGAAGGCATTTTACGCAGATGGCCGGAGTGGCGCGTGCCCCTCGATCCGATGGTGGTGGAAATGCGGCTGGGGCCCGTTTCCACGGGGCAGAGGGGGAGCCCGACCCCCGCGCGTGCATATGCACGCACACGAGGCCGATAGGGAACCGGGAGTCACACCTGGCCCTTAAAAATAGCATTGGCGTGATTTTCTGACGTCTCTCGCGTCACGTTGCGTGCGACGACGTTCTCGATACTCTAGGAAATCGACAATTATTATTTATTATAAGTTTCAATCGTGGATAGATCGAAGTAGGTAATGCACAGTATAGGCTGTACAACGTGAATCGTTGATAGAATGACTGTTCGATCGCAATGACGTCAACGGAAGTCTGATCGGTTTTCCCAGCCATGATGATTGAGCGATTATTCGAGTCTTGTGGGAATAGAACAGTGTCGGAAGTTGATTTACAGTTGACGATTATTCCAAAACGCGAAATGGTAATAAGAATTTTAGTGAAATAATGTATAGATTAATTGAAGCTGTCATTAACACGTTGATATGGTCACCTGTGACCGGAGCTTCCAGGTTGCTTGAAAGCAATTACAATAAGAAAATTGATATCGAATCAAAACATGTAACATAAGAAGCTAGATAATAGTGTTATACGTGTACTATAATACTAAAATATTAATAATTATTTCTACTACTATTTTCCTCTATTATAAAGGAATTAATTTTACTACGACAAAACGCTCGAAATTCTCGTGGCAGTCAACGTGTTAATGTTAAGCTGTTCTATACCTCTCACGGTTAACCGCAATAATTCTCTGGAAGAACTTCGAATTAGATTAATGAACGATCAGCGACAATTAAGAAGAAGACGAGTCTGGAAGATTCCCTGCTCACGCCATTGCTTCCCAATCGCGAGAAGTAGAATGCGCCTAGTTACGGTACGTCGGTTACACATGGATCACAAACGCACGGAATTGCACGGGGGTACGCGTACTGGTCGGAGAGGTGAGCACCCCATAGAGGCGACAAAAGAGAAGGGGAGGAGCTCCTGTTTTCATGCGAGTTGGCTTACGAGCCCGAGAGGCGGGGAGGGAGCGCGACTTTACGGGTGGAAGTCGGAAGCGACACGATCCGAGTCAGTCGTTCGCGAAGCACCAATACGTTTGGATCGATCGATCCTTGTCCGCTTTATCGATCGGAAATCCGTAACTCGTTAGCGGTCATCCACGGAAATCTAAAAACACAACGAACCCCAAGAGTTTCACGCATTGATCGACTAATTCTATACATCTCTGCTATGTCCTAAGTGTGCACTACTTAAAACTTACTCGAAGAAAGCTTCACATTCGACTCGACTTTCACTGAAAGGTGTAAGCTCCGACGAACATGTTTCCGGCATTGACGCGATAGGCGATGATATCTTCACGGGGGTTGCGATGGACACCATAAGGTCCTCCGGGCACGCGACCTGTGGGAGGGTCGTTCCGCTCCGCTGAATCGTGAAACCACCCCGGCGTGCGATCGCATTATACAGAGGCTCATCCTCGTTCCTACCACCAACGGTGAAACTACCGAAGAAACTTTGAATCGTCCGAGACGCGTCGATCGAAGGAACTTCAACGTACGAAGCTCGGTTGCGAAGCGTGCAACGGACTCGATTGAAAGGCGATTACAACTGTGAAGTGTGAATCGAAAGGGAAGCTTAAGAATCATGAGTGCGTTCAAGAGGCATCAGAGCAAAGTGTTCTGGGGTCACATGGAAGCACAGGATCTAGACCGGCTGGATCCTTTCGCCGCGCGGAACGATCCCGTGAAAGCGAGGCAGAGTCTTCGGCGGAACTTCGAGCTTTGCGAGAGAGCGGAGCCGGAAGAATGCTCTTCCAGTATCAACGAGAGTGATACCGTCGAGAACATCACGGCGATCCACGTGTGTCCCGGCGAGAATAGGCAGGATTTATATTCCGTGGCATCGATTTGCGACGGAGACACGATGACTCAGACGTAAGTACAATTGACCTGGCAATGATGAACGACTTTGCGGCAACGTGCTCGTTTAAACGCCGTTACTTCGGTTATCGGTGTTCTCTTATCAATTCGCCACGGTCGTTAACAACCGATTCTTTCACTTTCGTGACCGTTAGTTTCTTTCGTAACTCTTGAAATATCGTTGCAGCGCCACGATGGACATTGGGGATGAAGAGAAGGAGGACGAGAACAACGTGGTTCTAGCGAACAGATCGTTCAGTCCCGTAAGCCAGGACCTCCGCAGCCTAGATTCCGGATTCTCCGATTCCGAACGATCGAACTGTTCCGAGCAATACGAGAACGAGACGCCAAGACGTCGCAGAAGGCGAAGGAGGCTCAAGGATCGGCGACACGGTGTCCATTCCAGAATCGGCTCCGTCTGGTTGGACGAGTCTCTTCCGAATCCTACGTACACGTCCACGCCTAAGGAATCCAAAATATTACCTCGAAACGCGGCATGCTTTGACGCGCATGCTGACCGAAGTGTGTCAAGAATGCAGAGGTGATTTTAATGCAAACGATTTAATTGGAAGGTGATCCTGGAGAAATGTCGCGGATCAGATACAGTGGTTTAGACTGATCTGTAGCATCGGGGTACTCCAAAAGTATTAAGGCTTTCCTTATCGCCCGTGCGACACTTAACGTTCGCACTGTACAGTAGAACCTCGATTATCCGTTTTAATCCTTTGCACTCGAAAGTTTATCATTAGGAAAATTTTAACATTTTCTGATGAGAGAAAGACGATATTTTCTGGAACTAACTCGTAGAGAAATACGTACATTGGGGAACAAAGTTATTTTATTTATATTTTTCACATTGATGCGTTATGTAAGATATAACATTAAATATCAAATTTTATAGTTTTACAGTGGGAAATCAGGTGGTGAGTAAGAGTCGCCTCTCGAGTGCAAAGGGTTGAGCAACTAACAGACGAGATACTATAGAGAATCGAGAAGAAATTTTTGAAATATATACAACCGAGGTTTATAAATATATTGAGTAATTAATTAACTATCTAAGTAACTATCTAAGAATCCGAATTACTAAGCTCTAATTCAACTGAGAGTCTAGACAATCTAGATCACAGAAAACAACGATTCACTTTCGAGGTCCTACTGTAATATAACATTTCGCCCGCTATACGATCAAGGTGCCCGTTGTTATGGGTACATATTATCTCTGAAACTAAGTCACACCTTGTAGGAAGCGATAAGAAGCGATGAATGTATGTTTTAAGAACATGAATCGTCACGATAATGTGCCCGTGCTGAGCCAAGCGATAGGAATGCAACGCGTAAGGCACTTCCCATGTTGTTCCCTCCGGCGTTTCGTAAACTCTCGTTCACCCCTATAAGATGGCCGAACCGCTCGCGCCAGCGCGTGGTCATACTCGGGTACTTGTTCACCAGGTGCACTGGAAGTGGCACAAGCAATTGCTAAGAATATTAAACGCCTCGATCAGTCGCATAATAATGAAAAAAATTACAGTTAAATCGATCTCATCGAAGGTACAATCTGTTCATCGAGTGTGATTTCTAAACCACGCTTAATTTACTGCGTTCATACTCAATGGGCCGCACGTTTCATGTTGGACTCTACACTCTGATCTATCGATCATTTTCGTTATAAATACTTTTGATGCTTTCTTATCCAGAAACTTATTAATAGACCCTTTTACGAGAGCGATTATCGACGAGGAGTCTATTAGTTCTCTTTTGACCCTCGAGCCACGAGGTTCAGTCTCTTAGATCGCACCGGACGTTTTAAATACGCGAGAATCCCTCTGCGTTTGCGAAGACTGAATTTCTAGTGAGATCGTTTAACAGAAACATTAAATCGAATCGAATACTTCGTTCAAATGTTGCCAGTCGGAAGAGAAATTCACATCGAAAATGTTACATTCGTTGAATCCCTACTGTCGAATCGAACGTCAAGTTTGCGGTGACTCTGTGCCGAGGTCTGTTTCCGTATACTTTTTTCGGAGTAGTTAAACAGATACGGCTCATGCACGTAGATAGCGCAGTTAACATTCAAGGAAGTGAACGAGGCGATCGTTATGTGCGACGCGTTCGGGAATCGTAGATCCGATTCTCGTTATAGACACGCGCGGCAAATCTACAACGGGAATGTAACGTGCGGGAAAATTCCGGAGTATATCATCAATTAACATCGATTAGTGTTCGTCTACCGATCGAAGGATCAACGACGCAAATTAGTTGCTCTTCGGTAGCGGGCAGTTGGATCACTCTAGAATGACGTTGCCAAGTACTACGAAGACGAACGATTTGCATACTTGTCCGTCGACAGATCTGCATACAGCGCAATTCCGCCTTTGACTGCACCAGAAGTTAATTGCACCTGTGTATACAAAACTTGATCTAATTTTATTGCTACAAAATTGACGTGAATTCTATCAGGGAAGCACTTAGTGAAATTCCTCCTAGAACCTTTCTCATTATCTTCAATTGAACTTATTCACCTAACTTCGTCAAGAACATTGCTTTATAAAAGCAAGAAAGATACTTGACAAATCGCGAATAACTCGAATTCAAGACTTACTAAATAACAGAAGGAAAAGTACAATATAAAAGGCAACGCGTTGCTAAGGGAAAAATGGATCTCCCCATTCGGTCAGCCAAGTCTGAATTTCAATCAGGAAACGATGATGCGCTTCGCTTTTCAAACGAACGTTTAGTGAAACGCCAACATTCGTGACTCACTCATCGCGAGGATCGAGAGGCAAGAAAACAAAAAGCATAAAGGAACAATTGAACAAGACGATTCCTGTTCTAGCGTTCTCAGAAACGAATTCGTAAGGAAGAAAGGGCTGAGTCCCTTCGACAATCGCGTGGCCAATCACGCGACACAAAAGAATACCCGCGGAGACTCATCGTCGGCCTGAATGCGATGCGTTTTCGTTGATGGAAATGATATTTTCCTTCTGTACCGCGTGTCCATTCCGTATTCGTCGCCGCGATCTCCTCGCGATAGATCCTTTCACGGACGGCAAGGCCGCGGGGCGCCTGGCGCGTCTTTTTCCCGACACCCTGTAGATTCACGCGCGACCGTACGTGATTCAATGCAACGTGCCACACGGGGAATACGTAAATGAAACAACGATGGACGCGACGTTTGACTCAACCGGGCTGAGGTCTCGGACGACAGCGAACCCGGCAAGAATTCAACCGCTACCGTGGATCGGCGCGCAGGTGATCGCGCTACCAGCGCTAGTTTAGTCTAAAGAAATGGGTTCCGATTAGTCACCGCGTTCGCGAGGAACGCGATCCTTGTCCCGGAGGTGACCGATTGTTAGTCATCGTACACGGAATTTTGCAGTCGCTCCCCGGTTTCTTCCATTGTTTCGGGAAGAAAACCCGTGCACCTGGTTATGCGGACTGGCGTTGGACAGTGGTTGGGACTTAACTGTGTCCCGACGACAGTAGTCGAGACTGCCGTCTCGTTATGGCGCGACTCAGGTACCGGAGGTTCGTTTAACCCATTCGCTACCAGCATTTCTTTCAATAACAGCCTCCGCGAATACAATATTTTATTAACACGTTGAATGCCATGGGGGTTACCGGTGTCGAATTACTATAGTTCATTCAATTAAACGATGATTATTCGGAAACATTTTTACATTATAAACAATGCTAGCTAAAGCGGTGATACTCAGCTAGATGAACATGTAATAGTAACGCAATTCAATCAAATGATTCAATAGTGTATTCTTTCCATTTTGTGTATTTTGCTCTAGAAAATCGTGCGGCATTCAACGTGTCAAATAAAATATCGTCTTTACGAAATACAAATCGAGAAATCTCTGCGATTTCCTCTACGTTGTACCGTGCGTTACAATAGTAACACGTTGACTGCCACGAAAACCGGAGTTCTATGTATCGCTTATTCTTTTGTAGCAAAGAGAAAGAGGAACAGTTGCTTATTATTTGGTATCGCAATGCGTACGTTACACTGTTATCTAGTAATTTACACTATGAAATATTTCCATTCGACATTAGTTATCTGATGAATTGTAATTATCGTCAAGTAATTTGGAAGCTCCGGTCATCGATGACCGACGTGGCAGTCAACGTGTTGAGTGAAAACATGTAAATGTAATTTACTCTTCGTTGCTCGAAATATGAAACATTGATCGTCGCAAATACGCGATGCTGGTAGCGAACATGTTAATGCGGTCTTATCGTCTAGATGCACCTTAAAGTCATCCTGCAAGTTAGTTTCTTTTCAAATGGAATGGGCCTTACGGTATATATACTCGTACCTCTTCTATATGTTTCTATATACCTTTAACGTTAGTATAATATCATATTCAAATAAACAGGGTTGTCGAAGGAAATACCGTTAGGGTAAATTACAAAATGACGCATTGCTTTCAATACATTCATCGCTTCGACGAGTGATCTTGATGCCTATCGAAATGTCATCCTCCCGAATTCTTTTGCTCGAAGAACTTGAACAGTAAATTCACCGAAAGTAAAGCATTCGTATTTCGAATGTGATCGTTGACGATTCCCGATGTCGCAAGTGACTTACTCGGCGAAGTGGAGCGATTCGGTTGATTACTGACGCGTTGAGAAATGAATACACATTTTCGAAATTGAGGAAATTACATACTTATCCTCCTCGAGGACGTTTTTCTTGCGCAACAATGTTTCACCGATACTACCTTTATTTCATCAATCGAGAAGTCTATCGGGCTGAAAATAAATTAAACTAACACGCGCCGATTTCAGAGTGGAGGAGGATCAAATAGATGCGTCAGCAATCGCCCCGTCTGTTTCCCTGGAAGACGAGTGTTTAGGCGATTTCCTGTACACGTCGGAGCCACCGGAGGACGCGGTCGAGCCAAGAACCGCGAATTCATCGATTACGATTCACTCCGAATCCGAGCTATCCTCTAGATTTCTCGCGCAATCTAGAAACTACAGGCAATCGTCGTCCGTGAGAAGATGGCTCGGTGATCTCGCGATGAAAACGGAGAACGAGTGCACGAACACTCTTCAGAGCAAAGCGCTGCCACGCAGGAGGGATCGCGAGTTCCTGTCCGAAAAGGACGAGATGAAAGACTTGAGGACACTCGCGTCCTTCGCCACCGCTGCTGCGAATAAACTGCTAGTCAGAGCGGAGCAGTTCGACCGTCATTATCAGTATATATTCGAGTATGTATATTTATTGGATACCTGTATACGAAATATCAGATACAGATTTACGATCGGAAGGCTTTAAACGTAAGAGATATTAAGGATTATGTATGATTTAGTAAAGTGGCCCATCTGGAAGGCGGCAGATCTGAGAAGGAACTTCTACGTGCCATCGAGGATGATGCATTCTCTGTGTTGACGGAACTGGGTGCACCGCCACCTCGTAGAATTCAGCAGAGTAGCTTGAAAGGAATTCTAACGCAACTCGAAGGCATGAAGAACTATGTGGACGGCGCTGTGAACACGCGACTGGACTTTTACATTGAAGTATGTGGATCTAATTATTATCATTTATTCAGTTTTATGGAGATTCTTCTTTTAGTTTTAATTACATGTAATCTTGGTGTATTATGAAAGGGTTGAGTAGATGTGTGGTCTTAAACTCAGTGTGTATTTCCAGAGGATTGTAAGAGGACTAGAAGAGGCACCAAAGGATGACACGACGGTAGCTAGAGGAGCCTTAGCAGCATTAACAGCTTTAGGGTTAGCAGGACCAAGAGCTGGAAGCAGTATTACTAGATGTTCAGGCATCAGGGCTCTTCTAACATCTGTAATCACATCTTCAAAGACATCCACTGATTTCGTAGCTGCTTCTTTACGCGCGTTAGCAAGTGTCTGTTGTTCTGCTGTTGCTATAGATCAATTTGTCAAAGATGGAGGTCCAGAGATATTAACGGATCTTTTGGCGGCAAAGGATTCGTCTGAGAAGGATAAAATGGAAGCCACTGCATTGGTTGTACAGATAACAGCTCCTTGGGTCAATGCTCTAGGTCTGCCCCACTTGGAACCTTTTGCAGGAGATCTAATACCCTCCTTGAATCATCTAGTCGAGAATACTAGTTGTAGTCAAACGTTATTGCTTGGAGCAGCTGCATTCAATCATCTATCCAAGTCCAAAGCATGCGCTTCTGTAATATTGAAACAGGATACTGTGAAGAAATTACTGAAAAGTGTGAAAAAATCGGCAGGCAAAAATGTCTGGCTTATGGAACAAGTAGCAGCTCTGATTAGTGAATTGGCGCGCACCCCTGAAGCACGACCACACTTGGCGGAAGCTCGCGCGTCTGTTGCCCTGGTTTCCTTCCTTAGAATGAGACCACCGGGATTAGAAGACGCCTATAAACGTTTAGAAATTACTGCAGCGGCAGCGTTAACTAGACTTTGCGTCGATCCGGAAATTGCGAGGCAAGTCGTCGCTATTGGCGGTGCTGATTGCCTTCCGTCGTGCAAAGCCGACGATCTTCTTACAGAAGACGAAGAACAAATTGAAGCTGGATTACTGAGATACACGAAATCCTTAAGGAGAGCATGCAAAAGAGCTGCAAAACAGATTGACATTGCAAAAGCTAGCGACTATAGTGAATTGAGTTAGGTCACATATTTATTAATAAAATTAATTTTATTATATGTACATAATAGCAGTGTATAGCATATAGAATACTGTTTTAGAAAAATAATTAGTATATACTAATTATATTATTATACTATGCAGGTACTTTAAATTTTACAATAAAAGTGTAAATAAAAAGTATATTATATCATAAAAGTATATGTATTACTTCAATGAATATATCAAAATGTCTTTAAAAACGTAATTATTTTATTTACATTTCAATGGATATAACTTTCTATGTTATGTCATTGTTTAAATGACTTCTGTGAAATATGTCAATTGTTGTCTCTGAACACGATCTTAGTTCAAGGTCACAAGCACCTAACACAAATTTTCCATCTGGTGCTTTGAAATAGTCTAAACCACGTCCTATTTTAATTACCCATCCATTACTAAGTCTGAAACAAAATTAAAATAGTAATGAAGTACAGGTAATTTCATTGAGCATAGTTTTGAATTCAGTAAGCACTTAAATGCACTTACAATATTTGTCTATCGTGTAAAGTATCAGAAAATGAAATATTAAAGGAAATAAGTTTGGATAATAAACTCTTCCTCAATTCTTCTAATCTTGTTATTTGATTTTTTCTATCTTCTGGATCAAAAGTAGTGACTAGAGTTATTTTAGACAATGCATGGCACTTTCTCACAGCCAATTCACAAAATCTCACAAAATTTTGACACTAAAAACAAATTTAATTTCCATTATTAATAAACCTATTTTTTTAAATTAATTAAACAAAACAAAAATTTTCTGAAACAACACCTGATGAAACGCCCTTATATAAGGGTCTTCAACATGAATGTAAGTAACTGTTGTATCTAAAAATCTGCCAAACACAGACTCATAACCATGTCCAATACTTCCATTTTCAATTTTAATCAATTCTCTATAGGTCCCAGCTGCCTTTTTTTCATCAATTAAATTTTTTATTTTCTCTGCTCTATTTAAGTATTCAGATGCTCTAGCAGCAAAGTGTTTCTGCTTAGCCATATCCTTTGTCTCTACATTGTTTTATTACTAATTCTTGAATTAATCCATACACTTGTGACAGAGAAGCAAGATATCAAAGAATAAGGTAGGAAGAGATTTAATACATATCATCAATGCATTAGAAGAAAAATGATAATATATACACAATATTATTAGTATTTTTCAACAGACATCATTAATCATTTAGCTTAGAAAGTAATAAAGCACAAAGCACATACAATAAAATAGGGAATATACCTTTCCTAGAATCTAGCAGTATTTGAATACCTTCCTGATAAAGTACCAAGGCCATTGTATACTGTTCTTTTGTATCCATTTCTACAGCTCGCTTTAGGATTGATGCAGCAGCACTCTCCATGGCGAATATTCTACTAAAAGATGTAATATAAGATGATTCTACTAACACAGAAGTGTTTTTACACCTAGAGTGCTTCTCACAAATAAATGTAACTAATTTTCCATATGTATCAGAAGCAGAATCAAAACAATTTTTATAAACACTTACCGATGCCAGATTATCACTATCGCCCTCTGCTACTAGAGAAGAGAACGTAAAAAAACCGAGAAATTTTCCTATAACCACGGACTTAAAATCGGTATAGACATTACATACAGTACAATTTTCTCTCTACTGTTCTGAAGTACCGCCAACGTTAAAAATGACTTAACACTTTAGCGGATTTTATGCGAATAGATCAATTAACAATTCAATTACTACATTCAGATCGAAGCGCAAAGAACATACTTCAAGAAGCAGTCATTGAAAGTGACAAAAGTTAGTGCTGATTCATTTAAAACAGAAATTTTCATTCTCAGCCCTCTGACGGTGAATCGAAGAAATAATTACTATGTCGTTATAATTGTACTAAATTCCGAACTGAAAATAATGAAAGTCTACCGAAATTCGTATCTCATGGTATTTCACCTGAATAAGTATTAATTTTGAAAATACGCGGTAGAAACTTCCAACTTATATGTTCTCCCGGAAACAGTTTATATTTAAGAAACCCATTTATCAAAATTGTAACTGTATTTGTGCGCACTCGAAGATGTCAGAACAAACTTATATTTGCAATATATTCTCAGAACATCACCAGATCGGATCGTGTTAATCGCCTGATTAAAGTATTCGATAACTGTCTTCAACGGTGTACATACCCAACCGGTTTGGAACCATGTCCATATTGTTGGTAACGTCTTAAAAAACACGAAATGATTGTTTACGTGAGAAAGACTGAAAACTTTCCAAGTCGTGAAGAAAAAGGAGGCGAATTAATTAATAATCTTGAACCTCGTGGAAATATTTTGTGTCGTCGGATCGTATGATAGTCCGGGTCAGATTAGGGTTCGATTATTTTTTTACATAATGCCTCCCAGCCGTTTGGATGCTGTTTACAGAAGTATCCTCCTCACAAAGTTCTTTACTAAGGGCTGGGGAAGCCCTCAAAATTTAAAAAGGTAAGGTACCAATGTTCTAACCTTGTCAAAATAATAGTTTTAAATATGGATCCAGTTTCGAGAGTGTTCTCCAATGTAGCATAACGTGATAAGTTACGTATATATGAAACACCTACACAATTTTACTGCAATTTTAGCTATGCATGTATATATCAGATTTCAATTCATAATTAGATGAAATTTTAAAATGAAGTCACATAAGTTAAGATTAAAAATTTTGATGGTATTGTAATGTGAAGATTAATTTTCACTGTATAAAATGTTTTATTTTTATATTTATTAACAATTGGTATAAAAAATACGAGAGAATAACAAAAATTTATTTTCAGGATTTTTCAATTTAGAAAAATTGTTGCCAATAGAAAAGCATGCTACAACCTTATACCTCGTGATTACCCAATCAATATTACCAAGGTAACTATTATTAGACAGTGAAACTATTTTTAATGTTACTTTGAACAAATAATACACATTTATTAATAGTCATTTTTAACTGTGTGTATATACATATATATATATGTAGGATGAAGAGTGGTCCGACTGTCATATAATAGAAGGTTGTTTTGAAAGTCCCTTTCATAAACATCTTCCTGGAATAATGCCAGATGAAACAATAACTGCACATTTTCAATTGGTTCTACCACGCAAATGGCAATCCTATAAAATAAAACCCATTTGTTTACATCTTGCTGGTACAGGGGATCATGTAAATTACTTTGATCTTGGTCTTTTACTAATAAATTAATTATTTCTTTAATAAATGTATTCATAAATTGAATTTTTATTTATTAGTTTTTTTGGAGGAGAAGAAACTTGATTGCTAAACCCCTTTTAAAAGAATCTGGAATTGCCTCTTTATTACTGGAAAATCCATTTTATGGATTACGAAAACCTCACAATCAAATGTAAGAACATGTATTCTGAAGGTTTGTAATATGAAAGATATAAAAAATTCTCCAATATACTTGTATCCTTGTTAATATTATATATTCTTTTAGACGTTCTAGTTTAAATAATGTATGTGATATTTTCGTTATGGGAGGTTGCTTGATAATGGAATCAATTGTTTTATTAAACTGGTGTGAACAACAAGGTTTCGGGCCATTGGGATTAACAGGATTATCAATGGGTGGCCATGTTTGTATTTTTCTGTGATTCACTTTGGTATACCTTTTGTCAAATTCATATATTTATTCATACATTTTTGTAGATGGCTTCTTTGGCAGCAACTAATTGGCCAAAACCAATACCTCTAGTTCCTTGCCTTTCATGGTCAACAGCATCACCAGTATTCACTCAAGGAGTAATGAGTGCCTCTATCAACTGGACATTGTTAGAAAACCAATACTTTGCAAATGAACTTTATCAAAATGATCTTGCCAAAATGGTAAGAATTATAGGTGAGGAGGTGAGTAAAATTCTTTTTTGTAAACCCATAACTCCTACATATGAGGTAAATGCGAGATAATTATTTTTACTTGTCTGATTGTAGGATGCTTTCCTAGCTGGTCAACATTTTGCTCAGCATTATCCAGCAAGTATGAATAGAGTTAATCAACTACAGGAGAAATCTGAAGGTGCTAATAAAGAATCAGATTCGTCTAATGCCACTCAAACTGTGATTGACAATAAATTAAATTATAGCTGTAATACTCAAATTGAAGACAATAATTCGAAAGACCAATGTAATGAAGAAAGAGCTGCGGCTAAAATATTTCCTTTAAATCTTATTTCTAATAGATTTAAATCAAAAGACTCAAATGCGCTCAAAGGCAGGTATTTCTACAGATTCATAGAAGCTAACTTACTGTTCCTAGTACTCCACCATTAAGAATTATTACTTCAAAATTAAATTCAAATATCCTGAATTCGAATGTAATACAGAAATGAACTAAAATACTAATACATACTGCATTACCTTTTAACATATCCTTACTAGTAAGTGTCATTTGTCTTATAAGCAGCATGTAAATTTAGTTTTCCTTATTGTTGTTACAAACCGCATATTTCAGTGTAATGAAGTAAGTTGAAAACATGATTTTCGATGTGCATGACTATTTCGAGTATTACTTTGGCAATAGGCGTTTGTTTATTACCAGTTCCAAGACATCCATTGTTTTCGAATTGTAAATGGCGTGAGAGGGAGGCGCTGCAATTCATGTGTGGAATAATGGATGAATGTACACATTTAAAAAATTTCGAAGTACCTGTTGATACTCATCTTATTATTGCCGTCTGCGCAAGAGATGATGCGTATGTTCCACGTGATGGTTGTATGAGCTTAGAGAAAATTTGGCCAGGTGCTGAAATTCGTTATATCGACGCAGGGCACATAACTGCTTATCTACTTCATCAGAAAGTGTTCAGGTATAATTCTTTTACTATTCATATTTTTTGTTAAGAAATACAATTGTATTAAGAATTGCATCGATTACTTTCAGATCTACAATAATAGAAGCATTTCAACGATATGAGAAGAAATATTCTATAGAAATTAGTTAATATGGATTCAATAAATATATTTGGATATAGATTTTTAAATGAATCTAAACTCGATTTGCTCTATCACTGAATTTTGTATGATGTTTCATTTTGGAAAATTTTACAATTTCTATTGTTATCAATTTGGACAATCTTACAAAACTTAAGAAGAGAGAAATCATTTGTAATGAATCATTTGATATAAAATGAACTAATGTTAATTAGAATAAAAGGAGAAAAACTATGTACAACGAACATTTGACAATATGCAAATAAATAAATTGTAACATATTCTGTAAAAACATATATAATAAACAATTACTGTTACTAAAATCTTTGATATGATAAATTTTCTCTGATTTTAATCTTCTTATATTTATTTGAGAGAATCTACCACATTCTAGATCTTTTATAAATAATCGCATAGAGGATATTTGGATTACGCGGCTATTTGCGAAACAGGAAATAACGTGGCTCTACCTATCGGTGTAAAATTAGAATCGATCAAACCGGAAGCTTCGTAGCCGCTCGCGTAAAGGCCAGGAGCCAGCGTTGGCCACATGTGTTTTGCGGACCGCTTTTCCGTGGAAAAAGATCGCCGAAAATGCCGTGTTTACGTAATCCGTGGTAACGTGACGTTGAAAACGGTGCCTCTGAACTCGCTGCAATTGTGACAAAATTCCACGGCCTGAACACAAAGTAAATTGGGAAGAAAAAGAAATTCTAAAAGAGATCCAACTCGAACATAAATTACTTGTACCAACGAGGTGTATTCTGGTTGTCTGCTAACTCTCGTTACCGTACTGTGCACGTTTCGTATTCCCATGCACATTATCGGCAACATTTCATCCAGGAGAAAGGTACATCCAATAATCAGCGTTCAATAATTTTCTCGTGCCGGTTAGTTTTCGCTCGCCTCGTGAAATCGCCGAGTCAGCGTGTTCTTAACTACGCAATCTCGTCGCGCCTCGTGTGTTTTAAGTTCTTCGAACGTGTTCGACCATATCGACGAATGCGACTCCTTTAATCGTCATTTTTTCCTATTTATCGAATTTCGAGAGAATTCGGACACGTGCGGAGAAGAAAGAAACATATTTGGAGCATTGTTCGTTAACGACCGCGTGCGTGCACGCCGCGCCTTCTGGAAAGAGCGATCCCTCGTGACGAGCCTCTCAAGTGGGCGTTCTCTCGCGCTTCTGAAAGAACCAACGTTCGTAATTTAACACGTGTATTGCGTGTACTATTCTCTGTGAAAAATTGTACGTGTTCGTGCGCCATTGCACGGACTTCGGGGAGACATGCGTCCGGTCCACGACGCGGAGGATGTCCCTAGGTTGGTGCTTTAAAGCCGAATCGACTCACAAACACCTCTCGAAACTTACAATCTACTAACGAGGCTACTCGGCAGGATTAATGTGCTCGAGGGTGCTCGACGTGTCTTGGGACTCCTCGACTGCCTGAGAGGAAGCATCATCCTGTAAAAAGACTTTCGCAGTCAGATCCCTCGTGTTCCGGGACCTCGTGTTTTTGTCTTTCGCCGCGTGCCGTTCAAGATGGCGGCCAAGGTGGCCAGCGGCGCTCAGGGAAGTACCGAAAGAGAAGAGGGCCCCGGGGTCTCTTACGCAAGTATTCTGAACCCTAAAAGCGGTACTGAAAATCGGCCTTCTAATACTAAGGATAATAATAAAGAGAATATCAGTGGCCAGGTGGGTCAGCAGTCCATACCTATTAAGGATCGCATGGTTTCACAAAATCTGGCCGTCAAAGGCCAGCCTTATCAAAGAGCTGGAAGAAGATTCAATCCACAGGGTAAATTAGAAAAACCTTATGGAAATGAATTCTCATCTACGGAACAAAACAAACTGATCACGCAGAAAGGGATTCAAGTAGAGCATAATAAACAGGAGAATGTTCTCGAGAATGAGCAAATGAACGGCGATGTTGGAAGCGATGGAGAGTTTCAGACGGTAGCACCGAAGAGTGCTAGGAGGAAAGAGAAATTACGAGACCAACACAGAGATCACAGAGAACGACATAGACATAGAGATCATAGTCATCCTCTTCGTGGACATAATGGAAGTAATGAAAGATCTCATAAAGATCAACGCGATCGTGGAGATAGAATGGGTGCTGATCATATTGCAGGGAATAAAGAACTTTTGAAGGATAGAGACGACATAGAATCTGAATTGGAAGCTCGAACTCTACCACCGATTAAATATGTGGAGGCTCCTCTACCCACCATCAATCCTTGGACCAAAAGTAAATCCACAACGCAAGACCCACCTACGAATACTATAACCGCTGTACCTTCTGTAAGTTTAACGCCTGTGGAAAAACCAGTTGAAAAAGAAAAGAGACTATTGCAACCCCAGCAGCAAGAAGTAATTGGTAAGTGTTGATTTACATAAAAATTATGTATATTGTCCTTTTTTTATCATACAATTCTTTTATTAAAAAGGATTTCTTAAACTATGTTGAACATGTATTGCAAATATTTTGTAGGTTTTGAATTCAGATTATTACATCATGTTTTCTTCCAAACATAAAATTTGTTATTTTCAAAAGTATAGTTCATGTCTTAAACTGTTAACAATTTTAGTGAG